GGCTTTGTTCACCACTGACCTGGCATTGCATAGCATCAGCCGGTGATCCCGGGCCTGGGGATCTAAGTTCCCTGGAGACCGAGTAGAGCCCTGAGGACCGGAGCGCCCACACGCTTGTAAGCAGCGTGTGCGTGCTCCCCAAACCCGATATGGTCCTCTGCTCCCGCCGTATCTGCCCCTCCCACTGACCGTACTAATCAATGCCCCAAAGATCCAGCAGTCTAAAACATATGAAGAACAGTTGCAGTAATTGAGTGTCTAGCTTAATGCAAAGAAGGAGTAGGAACAGTGGTGGGATTCAAATATGTGAACAACCGGTTCTCTGTGTGGATGCCGTTTCCAGAAGTCCATTCTGGGCCTGGGCAACAAAAAATTAGCTACCGGTTCTGCCGAAGTGGTGCGAACCGGCTGAATCCCACCACTGACTAGGGCAGTGGTTCTCAACCTTTTTAATGCCGCAACCCCCAACCGGTCGTAAGTCGAGGACTAAACCGATCGTAAGTCGAGGACTACCCAACCGGTCGTAAGTCAAGGACTTTCCCTGCCCGGGAGCGCCATGCATGTGTGGTTCCGCCCCCTGCGCCGGCTGAGGCGTAGCTGGCAAGTGGCAGAGACGGAGCAGGCCGACCACCAGCTGGCCCAGCTCAAGGGAGGTAAGGCACCCGCTGGAAAAGGGGGAAAAAATGGCGGACAGCCTTGCTTGGCAACCCCCGTGAATTGGTCGATCGACCCCAAATAGGGTCGCGACCCATAGGTTGAGAACCGCTGGACTAGGGGACTGGAGACTAAAACATATGAAGAACGGTTGCTGGAATTGGGTATGTCTAATTTCATGAAGAGAAAGACTAGGGGTGACATGATAGCAGTCTTCCAATATTTGAGAGGCTGTTAACAAAGAAGAAAGGGTCAAGCTATTCTCCAAAGCACCTAAAGTCAGGACACGAGGCAATGGATGGAAACTAATCAACCTAGAACTAAGAAGAAATTTTCCTGACAGTTAGACAAATTAATCAATGGAACGATTTGCCTCCAGAAATTATGGGTTCTCCAACACTGGAGGTTTTAAAGAAGATATTAGACAGCCATTTGTCTGAAATGGTGTAGGGTTTCCTGCTTGAGCAACGGGTTGGACTAGAAGACCTCTAGGGTCCCTCCCAACTCTGTCATTCTGTTATTCTGTCTGTTGCAAAAGAGCAGGCATTGAGGCACTATAGGGAAGAAACAGATGCTTCTCATTTTTATTTATTTTACAGTGCTGATCACTCAGCCCAATCGAAATGACCCCGTGCAGCATATACAATTCCAATTTTTGTACATTCCCATCCGAAACAATTAACAAGAATCCAACAAATACATAGGAAAAAACAACAGAAACAAACATAAAATAGGAATGGCCCCCAAATTAAAACTCCTTTCCTCACCCAAGGGAGTCCTCACAACATTCTAATCCCCACAGTCTCATTAACAGATTTTGCAAAGCCAGAAGGAAAACATCACACCCAAGATATTTCCTTGGTGATTTGTTCAAAATATATATATATATTTTCACAGTATAAACAGTCATGATAGTCCTGCTATCCCAGGTAAAAAGGGAGGGAGAGATTAATTGAATGAGTGAAGAAATTGGAGCTCTGCAGCACATCATCCCTTCAGAAATGCTGAAGCTGGCAAGAGGCGATGGGCACGTGTGCCTTCCAACCATTTTCATGAATGAGTCCATCATTATGCCAGTGTAATTTTTTTTCCCCTACACCTTCTCTTCCTTCTTGTCAGCAATGCTGTAGTAATATGTGCGGATCAGTGTCTCCACAGCAGCAAAATTTGGGCGCTCTTCCCATCTGGGGACAAGAAAGTAGACATGTCAGAAATAAGAGGGGAAAATGATCTAGTCTGAATGACACACCTACATACATTGCAAAATTCCCTCCCCAAAGAAATCTCATCTCTAGAATGGAGGCGTTTGCAACTATGGACAAAATGTCAAGAAATGACAGTTGACAGTTACAACCATCCACCTCCACGCCCAGGAACACTTCCAGGTTTCAAATTTTTGCAAAACCATAGGGAGAATCATGTTCCCAAAGACAAACACTGCAACAGAAAAGCACGAGGAGTCCTTGGTGCACTCTGAGCTTGGTTGTTTTCTTGCAGACGTTTCATTATCAAACTAGTTAACATCATCCGTTAACCCAGTGGTGGCGAACCTATGGCACGGGTGCCAGAGGTGGCACTCAGAGCCCTCTCTGTGGGCACGCGCGCCGTCGCCCCAGTCCTAGGCCTTCAGCTGGGTTTTATAAAACCTTTTCGCTTTAGGCCTCTGCCGCCGTGTGCAAAAAAAAAAAAAAGTTCAATCAATCAGTCAATTTCAACTTCTCGTGGGAAAAAAAG